CCAACAAGGCGACCCGCCCCCCTCCCCCAAAGTTCCTCGGCCCGCCAGTTGCACCCCTGAGAGAAGAAGAACAACACACCAAGGAGCCCGGGGTGAGGAATGAGCCCGGTCCGGCGGGCGGCAAGCGGCGGTAAGTTGGAGGCCGGGGGGGGGGGCGGGGGGGGGCGGGGGCGAGAGAGCATCGAAAAGGAAAACATGCCATTCACGCCAGTGAGGCTGGGGCAGGGGCCGAACCCCTGGGTCGGTCAGCTGCCCCGCGCGTGATATGCCGTGGCAACGCTCTGGGAGTACAAATTCTTGCCGAAGTGCCCATCCTCGCTCGTCCCCTCCCTCCGAGGCACGGCGTGGGCACACGCGTTCCACCGCATGCGGGATCAGCAGGACGGGATGAATGGCGCACAACAGGGGACATAGGGCCCCGCGTCCGCGGGCCGCGCGGCTGCCTCGTCCTGGCCTGCTCGCGCGTCTTCAGTCCCACGAAAGGGCCCGAGGGGGGGGGGGGGGGGAGGGGGAAAAGGGAAGCCCCAACCCTTCCCCCGGGGGCCCGACTGGCCCGCGCTCAGCTCCTCCCCTCGACCCGATCCCCCACCTACATGCCCTACGCCTGGCCCTTCTCCTCTCTCTCTCTCCTCCTCCTCCCCCGCCCTCCCCCCCTGTCCCCTCATCATCACTACCAACGAGACGCTCGCCATCGTCACCATGGAGCTCGTACTGCCGCCCATCTCCCCGGCCGATCCGCTTGGGTCCATTTGGGCTCGGACGCTGCTTATCTCCGGGACCGGAGACTCGGACGACCCTAGCGGATCCTTCGTGGCGCGCCTGCAGCAGGTGTGCCTTTCCCCTCTCCCTCTCTCTCTCTCTCTCTCTCCCGATGCCCCTCCCCTGCCCCTTCTCCCTCTCCTTCACTCTGCTGACTGCCCACGGCCATTGATCCCTGCCACAGCTCGGCCAGAAGTTGGGCGTGCCCCTGGAGGCCCCGATCCGCCTGGCCACCGAGGACCCGATGCCCGATAATCTGGTCACTCTCGCTCGTTTCCTGTCACTCTGGGAGTTCGAGGTGCGAGGGGGCCCCCCATTGGCGCAGAGGCATCTGGCGCACACCCACGCTGGTATACATCTATATGCAAGCATACTCACCATCTGTCCCCCCCCCCCCGAAAAAAAAAAGGAGTACTTCATCGAGGACTGGACCCCCGCCAGTGGGCCCATCTCCCCGCGAAACGAACTCTTCGCCCTCACCTCCCTGCAGGCGTACCTCCAGTGGTGCCGAGTCCAGCTGGGTGCCGATGGCGGCCTCACCCCGGCTGCTGACACTCTGCTCACCATGGCCATGGACCGGGTTATGGCGCTGCTGGCGATGCAGCGGCCGGATGCCGGGCCCGGCTTGGCTGCCGGCCAGCCGGCCACCCAGCCCACTCTGCGCCAGATTGCCCAGACGCTCGGGGTCACTGGCGGCACGGCCCCCGGGCAGGCCCCCCTGGCCGAGAATCTGGCCCACGCGGCGGTCGATGCCGAAGGCCACCTGATGGGTCTGCGTACGGATCCCACCGGGGCCGGGCTCGCGCCCGGCGTCGAGGCAATCCTGGTCCCGCGCTCGGCCATGATGACCGTGGCCGCCGGGCGCGAAACCCCGGGCATCGGCCGGGTCCTGTGCGAGGTCGAGGGCCTCGACGAGGTGACTCAGCTGGTGCTGCTGGTCCTGCATGAGACCTTCGTCCGCGGTGCCGACTCCCGCTGGCACGCCTATCTGGACGCCCTGCCACGGCACATCCCGTCGCTGATCGCGTGCGGCTTTGTGGCCGACTGCCCGAATACACCGGCCGGCCAGGCGGCCAAGGCGACTGCCATGCAGTATCGCACCCGGCTGGATGCCGAGCTGGCCGAGACATCGGTCCTGCTGGAGGCCCAGCAAGTCCGCTCGGAGCTGGAGCGCGTCCATGGCCTCCTCTTCCCGGCCCTGTCGGACTATTACACCGAGGAGCTGCCGGCCGCGGCTTGCACCCTGGACCGGTTCATTTGGGCCCGGGCCGTCATCGATTCCCGGGCCATGACCATGCGTCTGGGATCGGAGGAGCAGGCGATCCCCCCGGGCGGCGCCGGCCAGTCGGCCCTCGATGTCGGCATCACCTTCGGCACTCTCGGCATGTGTGCCAGTATCCTCCACTCGCCGGAGGCGCTGGCCCAGCCGGAGGTCACCTGTCTGGTGCCTGGAGCGGACTTGGCCAATCATGCCCTCCGGTCGCACATCTCCCGGCGGTGGTTCGATCCAGTCCGCCAGGCCGTGGTCTTCTACAGCCACTTCCCGGTGGCCCCGGGCGACGAGCTGACGTACTACTACTCGCCGGTGTCCAATCGCACGGGGCTCCTGCAATTTGGCTTTGTGCTGGATGGTCCGGCCTCTTCCTCGGCCCCGGCCCCCCTGTCCCGGGCCAACCCCTACGACGTGGTGGGTGTGGTGCTTGGTGCTCCGGACCATGATGGCCTGGCCGATTTGCGCATTCGCCAGCTCCTCCGGCGCCCCTATTGCGGGGGCATTGACCATTGCGTGCGGCTTGGCCTTGGTCCCTGGATTCAGGATGCCTTCTGCCAGGATGCCCACCTGGGCGTCGAGGGCCCGGGAGCTGCGGCCCGGCTGTTCGGCTCGCTGACCGGCATCGAGCATCTGGCGGACTTGGTCAATGCCGAGGCGAATCTCCCACGGCCGAGTGCCGCCGAGTGCCCGATTGTCGATGTCCTCCGGGCCCCGGTGAGTCCGCGCCTGCTCAATGCCATGCGCGTGCTGCTGGCCGATCGCCCGCAGCTGAATCAGCTCATGCGTCTGGGCAGCACCTTCGGCTCGGTCGATCCGACGGCCGCCCCCACACGGGCCACCTGTGCGGAGGACGATTCGCGTGCTCTCGGTGCCGAGCACGAGCTTTTCATCCTCTGCTCGCTGGAGGACATCCTGCTGGATCTGCTTCAGGCCTATCCGACCACGCTGGCGGCCGACCTGGACATGCTGGCCGGGCTGACCGGCGGAGCCATGTCCCTGGCTGGCCCGGAGGCTGGTGCACTGCACCTGGCCTTGCGGTATCGCATTGGCGAAAAGCGCGCCCTGGCCAGTGCCCTGGCCTGGACCCGGCACAATGTGGCCCTTCTCCGGGCCACCCTGGCGGCCATCCTCGGCGACTCGCCGGCCGTCGCCATGGCCGGCACCCGTCGCGAGAAGCACCTGCTCAATCGCCATGCTCGTGGCACCGCGGCCCTGGCACGCCCTGGCCGTCAGATCAACCGACGCCTCGCCGAGGAGCGCGAGCAGCAGGACGACCACCAGTCCGCCAATCGGCCAGCTGGCCGGGAGGATCCGCGTGCCGATCGCGCTCGCCAGTAAGCCCCCCCCCCCCCCACTCCCATTAGACAGGCACCAACGGTCCTCAGGATGACATCCTGCCGTGCTTCCCTCCTTTTCCGGCCTCTTTTCTCCCTTCCATCATCTCTTCGTATCTCTCCCTCCCTCCCTCTCTCCCTCTCCCTCGTCAAATACAAACGCATGCGCTCAGATGCGTCCATACAAAAGACAGGCTCCAGCTACCACCACAGAGGTCTGGGGAAGAGGGGGCCCCCATGTCCAGACATTCACACATGTGCCGAAGCTTTCCATTTAGGGTGGATATGGATGCTGCGGAGCCGACTGCCTCGCCGACTCGACGGCCTGCTTGTACAGCTCATCCAAAAGAAACTGTCGGTCAAGGTACGCGTGCTCTAGGAGAAGCTGACGCTGGGAGTTGCATCTTTTGATCTTGGGTCCGGGAGCAGCGATGTACGAAAAGAGTCGGGCTTGCTCAAGCGGAATCCCAAGCGCATCGGAGACAGATTGAAGGCCCAACGGTGGGCGGACCTGAAGAAGGCGCATGGCCAGGTTGAAGACGGCGGAATTAGCGCTGCTGTCAGCGTCCCAGGAGACATCCGACGGCCCGGCGCCCGTCATGCGCAGAAGAGCATCCTGTGGCAGGGACGATGATTGGATGCGACGGGTCGGGTCCAACAAACACCCGAGCCAGATGGCTAGGTCCCGGTTGAGGCCGAGGATCAGGCCCAGGTCCTCGCGCAGTAGGATAACCGGCTCTCGAGCCCGACAGATGATTTGCGCGGCGAAGAGAAAGCAATTTGGCGGGGTACTCGGGGCATCCTGCACACTCGGGGGCAGAAGTGCCCGTGCACAGAGCCGGCCCTGACACAGGATACATGATTTGGTGTCGGGTTTGTCGGATTTTGCGACTTCCTTCACGGCCAAGGCTCGAGTCTTCCGCTCGAGAAGATGCGCGCAATACTTCCCACGAAGGCCAGTATGGAATTCCAAAGCGCAAAAGGCCAGCTCCAGGGCATTGGAATCTTTGGCTGCCATATATCGTCGGATCAGACGAAAAAGGTCTTCGGCATCGAAGTCCACGAGCAGCTCCTCCGACGGGAGTGGCAGGGGAGTGGGCCGAGCAGCTGCCACCGGGAGACGACCATCCAGCACGGCGTCTTGCCAGTCGCCGATGGTCACCACCCGGGTGCCAATTGGGGAGGGGCCCGGCGGGCGAAATGTGGCCAATGTGCGGGTGGTGGCAGATGGTTCGGGTGCTGGTGGAGGCTTGGGCACCGGCACCAGATCGGCCGAACCGCCGACCAGATTGCACACGATCGACAGGGGGATGGTCCGAGTGAAGGGGGCACGCATGAGGACATTCAACTTGATGGTACGCTCAATCCCAGGGTCAAAGAGCAAGGGACGAAGTTGCGGATGGTGCAACTCCAACAGGGCACCAAGCTGCGCCCTTTGCAGGCCCAGTTGCTCGAAGCGCCGGCGAAGGGATGCTGCTATCAAATGAGGCTTCTTGCTGAGGGCCTCCGCTAGAAAGTGTGTGTGGAGGTGCTGCAATAGGGCCAATGCACGTATGGTAGCCAGGGAGGAGGGAGCAGCACTCGAGGCGGGCACGTAGTTGGCCAAAATGCCCCGACAGGTGTCTCGGGTCAGGTGCAGGAGGGAAGCCAGCGCAATAGCAGCTCTATCGGTGATTGTGCCCGTGCTGGCAGGGGAGTCCCTGGCATCGGAATCCCACCGGGCCTCTGTCAGTAGCCGCTCAAGGACAGGCCACAGCTCGCTGTTGGCCGCGAGAGTTACACTCGGGACCGGCAGAACCCGTGGCTTCAGCAGGATGTCCGGTGGAAGGATGGCCTCCTCCCGGGCCCTGGCCAACGCCATGGCCGCCAGCGGCGAGGTGTCCAGCCTGTAGATCGGATCCGGACATAGACGCATTCGAGCCTGCAAACGAGACTGTTCCTGCTCGTACAAGCTCGATCTACTTAGTCTTCTGGAGGCGCGACGCGATCGCGGCCCGGATCGACGTCTGGCTTTGGGCGCCGTTTGGGCGGGGGATTCATCGACATCGGATGGGGCCTCCTCGGCACTGGTGGCCCTCCCTCGAGAGACATTCATAAGACGCTCGGCGTGGAGAAAGCGCGGCAGGGAGGAGATCGTGCCGGGCAACAGGATGGGTGACCTCGAGAGACGGAACATGGAGGGTGGATGTCCATCTGACGAGGGGCAAGGAGGGGAGGAAGACGCAAGTCAAGGGCGACGAATGGTGGAAGGAGGCGGAGGGGGGGCGGAGGGGGGCGGTGGGCGGGGGGGGGGGGGGGGGAGGGGGTGAGCACATGCGCGGCAAGATGGTCCAGAAGGAGAGAGATGCCTTTTCGGTCAGTGGGAACAAGCATGGTGTGTCTCCGGGAGGGCCACTTCCAGCGCACGGGGATGGGTTCGAGGGGACATGATTGAGTGCCAATGCTTGTTCGGGTAGGCATGTGATCATTTCTTGAGGAATGCAACTCCATTGCTGGGGGCCGGTGTCTGTGTCGCTTCCGAGGGAAAACAGGCTTCCAGGAAAGGGGGGGGGGATCTCCGCGAGGGAGGCAGAAGAGGGAGCTAGATGTGTCTGGTGAACGGTCGGTGCTAGCCCTTCCGGTGACTGGCCGGTGGCTGGCAGGGCGTCACTTCAGTGGCATCGAGCGGGACAGCGGCAATTGCATGTAAAGGAGGCCGGGAAAGGGAGAGAGAGGCAGAGAGGGAGGGGGAGCGAGAGAAAGACTGGGAAAGAGGGTGTGAGAGAAGAGGTTCAACCAAAATAGACCCTTGTGTACTCGACCATCCTCTCCGCGCCCCCTTCTCCAGGAGTCGACGGATCGTGAGTTGCTGCTGGATCTTGCCCGTCCAGTGGCCCGCTCTGGCAAGATGCCGGAAGAACGAGGGGAGAGCAGGGGCAGGGAGGATGACTTGCCCACCCGTCGATAGCCAAGGTGGTGGCGCACACACACACACACACACACACACACGCACGCGCACGCGCACGCGTACGCGTACGCGTACGAGCCCTACCTTGCAACAAAGAGGGGGAGGAGGGCCACCCTTGAAATGGAAGACTATAGAGGTATATTTCTCGTACTTTGGCCATAGGGCCTACGGCACGGGGAGATGGGAGAATGAGGGGAACATCAACCGGCAGGATGCATGCGTGCCGAAAGGAGGGAGGAGGGAAGGAAGAACACAACGACGGGAGGGGTTTAAGTTTTGAGAAAGGGAGAAAGGTGGTGGGAGCACGAAAGGGACAACTTCCATACGGTGCGGATATGCACGCAACGAGCTCCCCCTCCCCCGCGCACGCATACACACATACACACACACACACACGCGCGCGCGCGCGCACGCGCACAAAGACAAACACACAAACAGCAGGGCGAGGGGCGGAGGATGGCCGCCTGTTGCGCATGTGCGAGCGTGCGCGGGGTCATGCAACCAAACGCGCTCTCTTCATACCAAAGGGGGAGTGCAAATACGCATGGCGCCTAGATGATGGTGCAGCGCTTCTTCTTTTGTCCGGTCGCGCGGGCGTTGTCGGACGCAGCGTTATCGCCACTTGGATTGCCGCCTGGCGAGCCGGAGCGCTTGCGAATCTGACGGACCACCGAGTAGAAAGCCTTCTCCACGTTGTGCGTGGTCTTGGCGGAGGTCTCGTAGAAATCACACCCAAAGGTCTGGGCCAGGGAGACACCCTTCTGCATGGGGACCGTGCGCTTGTCCTCCATGTCGCACTTGTTGCCCACCAGCACGAGCGGCACATAGTTGACATCCTTCACGCGGTAAATCTGGTCCTTAAACTGGATATGGACACACGGGGACATGTGGGTCTGAAAGTCAGAGAGGATGTGTCTGGAAGGGGGAAAGGGGAGGAAGAAAGATTTGGAAGGGGAAAGGTGGGGAGAGAGAGAGGAGAGAGGAGAGAGGAGAGAGGAGAGAGAGGAGGGAGAGAGAGGAGAGGAGAGAGACAGAGAGAGGAGAGGAGAGAGACAGAGAGAGAGACAGAGAGAGAGACAGAGAGAGAGAGAGAGGAGAGAGAGAGAGAGACAGAGAGAGAGAGAGACAGAGAGAGAGAGAGAGAGAGACAGAGAGAGAGACAGAGAGAGAGAGAGACAGAGAGAGAGACAGAGAGAGAGAGAGGAAAGGTGGAGAGAGGAGAAGGAAAAACGCACACGAGCCATCCGGTCAAAGGTACTTGAGCAAACAATCGAGTAGACAAGGACGAAGCCCTCGCCATCGCGAATCCACTGATCGCGCAGAGCGACGTACTCCTCCTGACCAGCGGTATCAAGAACCTACAGCGAGAGGGGCAGGAAGGCGTGAGCAATGGGTGCCAGCGCGCACGAGAGGAGGAGGGAAGCAACGCGATTCCCAGACGGCTCGTCATCGGGCACATGAAACAAGGGAAGGCGAGAATACATACCTCGAGCACGCAGGACTCATCATCGATGACAACCTGCTTGCGGTAGGAATCCTCAATGGTCGGGTCGTAGGACTCGACGAACTGGTTGAGGCAGAGCTGGATGGTGAGGGCGGTCTTGCCGACACCACCGTCACCAAGGACGACGACGCGGTAGAGGGTCATGTGTGCGGCTGAAGAGGGCGACACGGAGAGAAAGGCAAGTGCTGGATGATGCTGCGAGGCATGCACAGCAACAAAGGACGGGAAAAGAGCTGGGAGGGTCAGCAAATGGCGGCTGGCCATCCCCGGCAGGGATGAGACAAGTCAACGAGACAGGCCAGCAAGA